ATGGGTGGGAGGGCTTCTGTTCTGTTTCTTCACCTGGGTGCTGGTTACATGGAGTGTTCGCTTTATGAAAACTAATTGAGTTGTAAACCTGTGATCTGGGCATTTCTCTGAATGTGTGTCGGGCTTTGATTTTATGTAAAAAACAAAACAAAAAAACAGTTAACTTCCGTAACTTTAGAACTCATAATTTGGTGGCCTAATTTCTGAGCAGGTTTTCATAACGTATATATTAGCTTCATTTTTTATACTTCCTGTCGTTAAAACTACAGGTCGTCCATTCCCAATTAAAACTAACTAAAATTATTTGGGAGAATTCTAAGGGACAGTGGTGAGCCAAAGGTCAGAGGGTGGGGATGGTCTGCCCAGGTGCCGGCAGTAAGGACGTCCATGGTCTTAGAGAAGGTTAGTGGCAAAACCCATCTGAAAATCATTCTCGCTTTTATTCTCACCATGTGCGCATGGGCCTAAACAATGCCATTGATAAAACACTGCTAAAAAGATTTTTTCTTTTGTAACCTAAGTCCTAAATGATTGAAGTTAGTGTTTTTTATTCATACATGCACATACTTTGTGTGTGTGAATATATATATGTATATGTTCTTCAATTTAGCACACTTCTAGTAGCTGTTGTGTTACTCTAATAATACATGTGGACTCAGCCTTGTGTCGGTTCCTAGAGCCATGTGAGCTGCAGCCCCGCCGTCCTGCTGCTTCCCGCGGTTAAACAGTAGGTTGAGAGATGAGCCATGAGAGCAAAGTCCTTACGAAGACAGGAAAACAGAACTTGAGTTACTTCAATTGTCATTCTGTTACTGCTTGAGGAGTGTGTGTGTGTGTGTGTGTGTGTGTGTTTAAAGTCTAAAACAGTGGAACAGAGTGCTGATTATTACTGCAAATAATTTTGTCAAATAGACAAAAGAGGGTCTTAAAAACGAATCCAGTGTAGTCATGTCTACACAGCGTGCCGCTGCAGTGGGACAGCGGCTTTGACCGGCGCTGCTTAGGCGTGGAAACTCAGAGGTGCGCACGTGGAGGCTGTGGGCGTTTCCAGCAATTTTGCTCACATCACATTGGGGCAAATGCCATTCTGAACTTTGTTAACATTTTTAAATTGTGTATAGGGACTGATTATGTAGTGTGTTTACTTCTGTGCTTGCTTCAGCTATTAAGTGTCCAAATTAGCCTACATTGTTAATGCCACTGAAGTGCATAAAGTAAAATGTGGAGCATTTGAAAAAAGGGCAGAAAAAGCATTGTGCCTGAGAAGCTGAGGTGCCTGCCGTTCTAAAGCAGCCTTCCTCCTGGTGGTATCTGTGACGTGGGTGAAGGTTGGTAGTTTATTTTTATTTATTTTAAGTTTTTTATTCTTTATTTATGATAGTCACAGAGAGAGAGAGAGAGAGAGAGGCAGAGGGAGAAGCAGGCTCCATGCACCGGGAGCCTGACGTGGGATTCGATCCCGGGTCTCCAGGATCGCGCCCTGGGCCAAAGGCAGGCGCCAAACCGCTGCGCCACCCAGGGATCCCGGAGGTTGGTAGTTTAAAAGAAATAAGCTGTTTGGTTGCCTCTGCCGTTGACCCACGTCTCCAACCCTGTGCACCTTCCCGCTCCACTCACACCAAAAACACCAGACTGCTTTTGACTGTTCACCAGTCTTACAAAACAACTTGATTGTATCAAAAATAATGAGTAGTTTAAATGAATCTATTCACTATCCGTGTATTTATAGTTCATCAAACCCCTTTCAATGTTGGGAACTTTTTTAAGTTGAAAGAAAAGAGAGTAAAAGTAATTTCTGTTGGCACCTGCTGTACCTGCACTCATGACTGCATCCATGTTGGGGGGCACCGAAGTGTCCATCAGTAGAGCAGTTAGTAATTATTAGGGTGCATCTGTGGAATGGAATAGTATGCAGCCACTGAAATGCGGGGCTGCTCAGGTTTTAAAATGGCTGTTATTCCTAAAACTGATATTTCATATCAGTAATGTCTGAGTCCTAGGATGTAGCTCTACTGTTTTTCAACAAAGTTTCGAAGAGCACCATTTTTTGTGTACACACACACACAAAAGCGGATGTGTATGCTTGTGTATCTGCATGTAGCTATCTCCAAAAGGACACTTGAGAAACAACGCGGGACACCAGTAGGGAAGTTGGCAAGATTGGGGGTAGAAATAAAATGTACATTCCAGTTTGACTTTTTTGTTTTGTTTTGTTTTTTACTTACCGCATGTGTTTTTAAAGTTTTTTTAAGAAAAAAACTAAAACTTTTGACACAAACTGTACCATAATCGTGAAAGCATAAATGTCACCACTGGAAAGTACCTGAGCTGATTCCCAGGACCCTGGGAATCATGACCTGACCTGAAGTGCTGAAGACAGGTGCCCAACCACTGAGCCACTCAGCTGTCCCTGCTTTTTTTCCCCCCCTAAGGTTTATTTCTTTGAGAGAGAAATGGGGAGGGGAGGTGCAAAAGAAGAGGGAGAGAGAATCTTAAGCAGACTCCACACTGAGCATGGAGCTGGACGCAGGGTTCAATCCTACGACCCTGAGATCACCACCTGAGCCAAAACCAAGAGTCAGGTGCTTAACCGACTATTCCACACAGGTGCCCCTTGAAGGCCCACTTTTAAAAGGTGCGGGCCAAGTGGCAGCTGCCCTGGAAAGCTAGATGGAATCCCAGCTCGGAGCTCCCGTGTGTGCCTTGGACACGTTGGTAACGTTGTCCTGGCGGCTGGAGCTCAGCAGCCGCCAGGAGCTCCGGGGCAGATTGCAGTCAGGTTCAGACATCATCCTTTCTCGCTATCCTTTCACGGAGCCAACATCAAACCTTTGAATGTGAGAAAAATGTACACCTGGGTATTTTTATTTATTTACAGTTTGCACCCTATATAATTCCCAAAAGCAAAATGTGAAAGAGTGTTACTAAATTTATGAGTAATATAAAACTGGACAAGTACAAGTAAAAGCAGATTGTAATCCCGTAAAAGGAGCCGTACGCTGGCGGTTTAGTAGCTATGAGAACTACCTGGGATAGGTAATTACTCAAGTTGAGCTCCGAATTTAGCTTTGAATTTCTTGGCATGTAACAAAAAAGGAGGAGGGGGGATGTAAAGCATCTGGTTCTTTTTATTTGAAGCCAGAAAATAAGTTTTGCCTAAGGAAAGGGACATTTTCTTGGTCCTCAGTTCAAGAAGGAAATTCAAGTGCAGATCCTTATTAAAAATCTATGGGGGATGACTCAGGTCTTCTTAATGGTTACTGCGGTCAGGGTGTTACAGTTAGCTAGCCGCAATGTGCCAAACCTCACAGACTGGGTCTCGACTGGGTGTCAGGTCCACCCGTGTGTCCCCAGACCCCACAGCGGTGTGGATCCACTGTCCATCCCTTGCGTGGACCGCTTCGACCTCCCCCGGCCCTATCCGTGCCTGTGCTTCCACTCGGCTGGAGTCGTCTCCACACTGTGCTCAGGGGGCCCTGTAGGAGCACAGGTGCAGCCATTACCTGTCACCGGGGCCCGCCTGTGCATGTACATCTCCTGTGTCCCTTGGTTTGAGAATTTAAGACCGAAACCCGCCCACCTCTCCTGCCATCCTCCTGCCCTTGCTCCCTTTAGCCCAGCCATTCCTTAGCCTTGTTTCTGTTTCTGTATACATTTTACCCACTCAGGGCGTGTTCACCTGCCTAGGCTGGCTCTCCTTCTGTTGGATCTGAGCTGCATCATTCTTGGAAGCTTCCCTGACCCTGACGTTGGTTCTCGTGGCCCTCTGTGCCTCTTTCAGGAGCACTCATCCCCATGGTGGTGTCCTTCCTACTAAATTGAGAGCCCGTGGCAGCAGGGACTGGCCCAGGTCTGCCTCACTCTGATCCCCAGCTCCATGCCCAGTGTCTGGTGTGTGCCATAGCCAGTTGGTAGGTATTGGAGGGGAGGGAGCCCTCCATTGGTGGCCCAGCCATTGCCGTGGCCTCCCAGCCTCCCTCTGCAGTGGACACTATCCCACACTGAGACATCTATCCCAGAAATAGTTCTGATCACAAAACCACTATGTGCCAGAACTTTCAGAGGGTCCCCGTTTCCTGTAGCCTGCACGCCACACCTTTTTTTTTAGATCCCTTCTGCCCCCAGTGTCCCCTCAGCCCATCTCTGCTCATCGTAACCATTCCGTAAGTAATTCCCTTGGCTGAAAGTCATGCCTTCCATTGTGTGGACTCTGAGCACCTTTGGTGGTACTATTTCTATATCTACAATAGCTATTTTATGTATATAACTCCTGTTTGTAGTCCTAAGTAGTATCTAGCATGAACCTCACATAGTAGGTAATCATGAAATACCTTAAATGAGTGGGAATTATTCTTTATTTAGCAGGTTTCTAAGCCAGTCTTTACTAGGAACCATTTGCCTTTGGATGCTGTAATTTGTAATGAAGTTTCTGTTTTTGCATATATAACAAATGGCTGGTCAGCTATAGATCTCCTGTTTTTTTAAATATATCTATGTATTAGGGTGCCTGGGTGGCTCGGTCCGTTAAGCGATGGACTCTCGATGTCCACTCAGGTCGTGATCTCAGGGTCCTGGGATCGAGCCCCGCATCTGGCTCTGTGCTCAGTGGGGCACCTGCTTAAGGATTCTCTCCCTCTCCCTCTGCCCCTCCCTCCACACTTTCAGTCTCTCTCAAATAAACAAATCTTTAAATATATCTACAGATTAGTGACTGTGAACACTGCTCACATACTGCTTTTGCACACATTTCAGAGACCTCGTGGATCTTTTATAACAAGGGTACAGTATTCTTGTGTACTGAACACAGCAAATTGAAGTAGATGTGTGTAGGGTTGTCATTTCAAGGGAAGACAGCTGGAGTTAGCGCACTCTTCAAGCAACAACCAGTGGGCCATGGAACTTGCTTTGAGATGAGCATCACCTCACCGCCTCCCCGGGCCACATCTGCCATGACTCCGGCCATGAGATGATAACCCCCACCTCCGTTTCTTTTCCAACAGGCTGACCTGAACTGCAGTATCCAGGATGATGCCGGGGCTTTTTATGGTGTAACGAGTCAGTACGAGAGCTCTGAAAACATGACCGTCACCTGTTCCACCAAAGTGTGCTCCTTTGGGAAGCAAGTAGTAGAAAAAGTAGAGGTAAGTAGGCGTCTGTGCGCCGGAATCTTCACCTGAGGGCAGACTGTCGCCTTCCTTTCAACTTTCACTGGAGCAGAGAGTTTTACTTTCTTGGCATCTCCTCCCTCTCCCCCTCTCTCCCAGCTCTCGTATTACTTCTTCTTTTTTTTTTTTTTTCGTATTACTTCTTAACAAGACCAAATGATTTGAAAGCAAGTGGAGGAAGGCAGAGAGGAAGCCCCAGGCTAACCCTCCCTGACTGTGGCCCCCTGCCTTCTGCGGCCTGCCCCATCCAACCCGGGGTCTCGTGGGGGTGCCCTGGTGTGGAAGTCAGTCCATACAGGCCCTGCCACCCAGCAGACGGGGCCCTTCCTACCCCCAAGTCCAAGAGCACTTGCAGGCATTGTAGATAACAGCCAAGATGAAATTCAGCTGGTTAGCACCTGCCTTCTAAAACCCTGACACCCCGAGTGGTGGCACTTCTGCATTTCCATTCCTTTAATTCTTTGAGACAGATTATAGCACAGCACATACTGGGATCAAATACCTATTTGTAGTTTTTATATTTCCTTCCTCCCTCCCTTTCAAAAATGTATGTTCTTTTTTTTTTTTAACCCCCTGAAAGAAAAACAGGTGGGTTGCTTTGTATAAATAAATACTGTTTGCAGTTGACATTCCACGTAAAGTCGAATTTTCCAGTGTTTTCTCCCATTAGCCAGCCAATCCATGTTCAGTGAGTAGCTTTTGTTCACGGTGGTCCCGGAGCCACAGGTCCCAGAGCCCAGTTTGACTGTGGCAGACTTTGTGCCAAGTCGGGAGACAGGAGAGGAAGCATGTGCTGGGAAGGAGGGCACGGGCCAGCGTGTGGGTTTGGTAAGACTTCGAGCTGAAGAGTAAGGATCCTGGATGCTGCGGCCCCTGGTAGCCTCCCAAGCACAGGACAGGCATCCTGAGGACACTGTGGAGGAGGTTACACTAGCCAGAGAGGATGGAAGCGAATTGGCTAGAGGATTGAGGGGAGCCTAGGTCTCCTGAGCTTCAGTAAACTGTAGCAGTGGGAATCTAGGGTAAGACATTTGAGCAGAACTTAGGAACTCACTGGATATTTTTAAAAAGTTCATGAGGACAAAGAGTCAGAGGTCCCATGTTGTGTGTTTGTGAGGACAGTGCTGCCACCGGCGGAGACAAGAAAGTAAAAGTCTTGAAGAGCCCACAGTCGGGATGATTCTAGATGCAAGATAAGAATTTGGAAGACAGATAAAGACTGAGAATACTTACCAGGAACCCTAAGCATTATAGATCATGAAAGCTATGGGTTTGGAAAACTAGATGTTGAGAGGGAATAGCAGCACAAGAACAAGGGGTTAAATTTGGGGAGCAGGAGCCAGCCCTGGGGTGAGTGGAATGGTGACACCAGCAGAGGACATCAAAGGATGAGGGAGGAAGGGAGCCAGCTCAATGCGTGTCCTGCCTGGACAAAATGAACCAGACGAGTTACTTAGTTTCCCAGATTCCAAAAACTCTTTTTTTCATTGGGTCCTCCAACAACACAGCCCAAGCTTTCTGTCAGTTCAGGAAGCAGGAAAAGGTTGTCTATGATTGATAAAGCCCCAGGAATTTTCATGGAGAAGGTAGTGTGAGTGTGGCAGGTGGCGTTTTATAATTAAGCTTTTAATTCACTTAGAATGTATTTCTGCATTTGGTGTGAAATGGGAGTCTGTTTCTATCGTCTTCCAAATACACAGGCATTGGTGTCAGAACAATTTATTAAATGATTCATCCTTTTCCCGCTGAGTAAATCTGAGATCTGTCCCCTTTAAGATACCACCTGTCCTGGGAGCCGTTCCTGGAGTCTCTCTGATTCCACCCTCTGCTTTATCTGTGCATGTCCCAGGACCACGTTGATGTGATTACAGTGGCTTTACGGTACATTCTTACGTCTCCTGATGCAAGTCAATCTGGCCATTCTTCTTTTCCATATATTTTCTAAGCTGGTGACCAGCATTTATTCTCCCAAAAAAATGAAATCACTATAAAAAGAAAAAAAAAAAAGTAAAGAAAACCAAAAACCTTGCTTGATCAATCTAATCGTAATTCTACTAACTTTAGATTTTATTCTGGGATAAATTGATAACTTACCAATACTAAATCTTTCCAATCGAGAACCTATTTGCATTTCCATCTCATTTATCTTAACAAGATTTTATAGTTTTCACATACAGGGTTATGCCCTTTTTGTTAAATATATTTCTAAAAATAAAAAAATAAATATATTTCTAAATATTATGTAATTTATTAATGCAGTTCCAATTTCTAGATCTTAATTACTAGAATAGAGAAACACTCTTGGTTTTTGCTTATATATGTTTTATCTGGCCATCTTAATTACATTCTCTTATTTATCTCTAGTTTTTTTCCCCTAGATTCTTGGATTTTTCTATATATATAGTCATAGCAGCAAAAAGAGAAGACTTTATTTTATCTCTTCTTTTCCAATGTTTATGCCACTTTTCCTATTATGATTATTTTCTCCTTCTTTCCATTTGTTAAAACCTCCATCACTGTCATAAAAAGAAGTAGGATGGTGAGTATCCCTGTGTAGTTACCGCTGTCCATAGAGGTGGTTTTGGTGTTTTGTCATTCTGGGTTTTACTTACTGTTGGATTTTATAAATAATCTTTATTTTATATTTAACTGCTTTCTTTCTATTCCTGTTGTCCTTAGGATTTTTATTAGCAACCCCGCAGTATTTTATCAAATGCCTTTTCAGCATCTTTTAGTATGATTTTCCTCCAATTTATGGACATGAGTTCATACGTGTCCTATACAGGAGCCACCACAGCATTCCTGAGGAAAGTCGTACTTTGAACACACTGATGTATTCTCTTTACTAGTCGACATGAGATCTTAAGTGACTAGTCTGTCCCTTTTTAAATTTCCTTATATCCATCAATTTCATAAAAGGAATTGGGATACCTGCCTTTTCCTGCGGTCTGGCCTAGTTTGTGTAACACAGAGAGAATAATTGTTCTTTAAGAGTTGGATAAAACTCAGCGATGAAACTGTTTGGTCTTTGTACCTTTCTCCATGATGAGTCTCTGAACAATTTTTTGGCCATTTCCACAGTAATGGACCTTGTCAAGTTTTCTCCTTCATGGTTCAGTATTAGTAATTCATATTTTGCTGGGAAATCAGACTTTTTCTTGTCTTTTTTTGCCTTGGAATTATATGAAGTAACCTTTTACAAATCTCCCAGTTTCTACTGTAATTGTGGTTTTGTCTTTTTTCTCTCTTAAGCTTGTGAAGGCTTGATTTTGTTTTGACTTTTTAAAAAACCAGTTTTTAAATTTATTTAGTCCACATTTTTTATTTCTGTTAACATCGATTTGAGCTTTTATCTTTATTAATTTCCTATTCCTGGTTTCTTTTGGTTTCTTTGTAGCTTGGGTTTATTTTGTGGGTTTAAAAAAAAAAATTAAGACGTGGTTGGTTCTGTAATTGTTCATCTTTCATGACGAACTCAATGAAGCTGCTTTGTTAAGTTTCCTCCAAGTATAGCTTGGTCGGGTCCCCTAATTTTCATGTCAAGTATTTTCCTTTTCATTACTCTTGAGATAGTTTGTAATTTCCTTTTTAATTCGTACTCTTTGGTCCAAGTCTACCTAGGGGGTGTGTTATTTCTGAGTGCTTCTGGGGAATCTTCAATACCGGTATTTTCTTTCTTTTCCGTGTTTATTAAAAACATAAATAACTCCCAGTCAGGAGCTCGTGATCATTGTGAAGTTGTTTTACCTGAGATAGAGAAATTAGCTACCTTGGTCGTTGGCCTGTGAGGCCTGTATTAACAGCAGAGGAGGATTTTCTCTGGGCTCCTTGAAGAATTGTAGTTGACTGGGCCCGCTCTCCCAGATTTCCAGGCAGAAAATCACGAAGTAGGTGATTATATTTCTTTCTGACCTAGACAACCCTTCTTTATAGCTATCCTGTTTCCACTTTTTTCGTTTGTAGAAATATAATGGATTGCTGAGCATGGCATTAAGTTTGGCATTGGGACTCTTTTTTTAATTATGTAAATAGGACAGCACTTAACAGATGATTCGTGTTGAAAAAGGAAAAATGCTTTTGCAGGCAGCAATAGCTTTTTCATGTATTTTGAAGTCAGAAGTGTAAATGTGCTCAACTCCTTTTTCCCCTCACAGACGGAGTATGCAAGGTTTGAGAACGGCCGGTTTGTGTACCGAATAAACCGCTCCCCGATGTGTGAATATATGATAAACTTCATCCACAAGCTCAAACACTTACCAGAGAAATATATGATGAACAGCGTTTTGGAAAACTTCACAATTTTATTGGTAACTGTTTTGCCTCTTTCCTCTTGTGGCAGACACAGTCTGGGGCTGGTGGGGAGGGACAGGCAGGTGGCCAGGTAGGGATGCTGCGTGAGCTGGTGGTCGGTCACCATCTGAATCCGCAGCGGCCAGGGCAAGCTTGGGCTCTGTTTGCGCTTGAGTCTGTAGACGAGACAGGGTCTCATGTGGTGGGGCTAATAAGCTTTTCTAAGCTTGGGAAAACTGGAATTCAAGTGGGTAAAATTCAGCTGCATGTTAGAAAGGCACAGAGAACTTTTAAAAAACTTAGGAATTTCTAAAAGCCCAGCACCAAGGCTGCATCCTAGATCAATGAAATCAGGATGTCTGAGGATAGAAGCCAGGCATTTATATTTTTTATAGTTGCCGAGGTCTTTCCTGTGTCGGCCACATGGAAGTCCCAGCAGCATAGTATACAGAGAGTGAGTTGGGACCAAAACAGTCCGTGGGTTCGTCTTTGACTCATTTCACGATGGATTGCAAGGCCTTCTAGGAAATAACGGACATTAAAATAGCAAAGGGCAAACCCTCAGCACCATGAGAAACACAAATTAAAAGAGAATGTCATGCCCAGGAAATACTCTCAATAGGCTGAAAAGTATGGTCCAAACTTGGACAGTTCAAGGGAAAGTGAAAGCAGTGGTGGCCAGGGTCCCAGTGGGAGAAGTTTCCAGTTACTCCCAGGGCAATGCCAGGGAGTAGGGGAGGGACCCCTAATATTTAACTTTAAAACAGATTTCTCTTAGGGGCTTCATTTGGAGACCTGGTAAGGTTATAAAAACAGGGTTGTCCTCAAAAATCTGCCTATGAAATACATAGTAATGGGTTTCATAAGGCTCATTTTTGAAAAAATTAACATTCTTTGATTTAACCAAAGGAAAAATGCCAAAACAAAACTTGGAAAGTTTTGCTAAAAGGGGTAACGATGATACTAGTATCATGGTCAAGTATTCAGCCTTCTGAAGCCCTGCTTTGTTCATCTGTTACTAGGATTAAGAACTAGAGTACTTAGAACAGAAGATCTTTGGATCCATTGAGATCAGGGTTCCAGAGGCTTTGGATCCATTGAGATCAGGGTTCTCAATCAGTGGTATGCTACTTTAAAAAAAAAAAAAAAAAGAAGAAGAAGAAACCTGTCCCTCAACCTCCCCTCAACACCCTGATATATTAGCATTTGCTCATTCCCATGGTATACATTCACTTCCAAGGTCAACTTCAAGGCACCAGTCGTTGTCCAGCTTACGAAATTTCTTCGTATTTAACTCTCAAGAGCCTGTGGGAGCCAGTTTCCTCACACCAGTAGAAAAACCCGAATAAGTAAAACTATAAAAATTAAAATCCTTCTACATATCAGATTCACCCAGGAAGCTTTAAATTTCTGGGGCCTGGGCCCCAGCTGAGATAAATAAAACCAGAATACCTGAAAGTGGGGCCCGCCCAGCATCACGGTATTTGTCTCATTTTTATAGGTCCCCGGGTCATTGAGATGGAGCCCCACTGCTCTAGGGGATAGCTGAATGAGCTGCAGGGAGTCCCAAGAGTTCCCAGACACATAACGGGCAAAAACTTGGCAGACAGTTTTGCATGTGCTTTTCATTTATTCCCCAGAGAGACTCTCAGCAGATTCTCAGCCGTGTCCATGAGAAACTAGCAATCTGGGGGAAACTTTGGAAAACCTGTTCTTTAATAAGTATTAAATGTATTAGTGTCTTGTTCTTTAATGGTCGTTAGTGAAAATTGAGCAGTTCACGGTTTGGGGTGCGGGCAGGTACCTGTCACACAGCTGTTTCTTGCTAGTTCCAAAGGTGACTCTTGTACTCAGATGGGCAGAAAATGAGTGTCTCATCCCTTGGGAGGGACAGTTCATAGCCTTAGGAATTAACCCAAACTCTCTGAGTGAATGGCCAGCCCACCCTCAAGCAGTCTTAGCTGTTCATACAAACCAGTTCTGAGTCTGCTTGAGCATTTTAAGGAATATGCCTCATTCCCTAACCCTACCTCGCAGAGCATAGCTGAGGAAAACAAGGCCTGGAAGAAATTTAAGGCATCTGTTAGCCACAAAATCCATGAAATCAAATCAGTAGTGCTCCTTCAGAACATGTGACTTCAAGCAGCCAAATGTCCAGAGAACATTAAATTAATTCCAAAACGTATCAGTAAGCAACTAGAGAAATTTCTTTGCTATGAAGAATCAGTAGCTCTCAATAAATATCTGCTAGAAGTAATATTTTGGCTTTTAGAGGAACTGAAACTAAACCAGCACTCCTGGATTATGAGGGTCAAGTCGTCTCACTGATCATGAAAGGAGAAATAGTACTTTCCAGCTCTTCCTCAGAAGTAGGCAGCTGCTGGATATAGTTGTAGATATTTTACTCGGTATTGGGTTACAAAGCCTGTGTCAGAAAGATCAAGTCCGACCTTACTGGCTGGTGAGCTAGACTCTGATTTCATCGGAATGATACAGAGATTGAAGTGAACCTGTAAATGTGGGGCCTTAGTGACCATATGCAAACAGACTGAGGACCACAGTAACTAAATTATAGATCAGGTATTCCTGTCACCTTTGGAAGTTGTATTCAGACATACATACAGCTCTCTAGAAACATTTTTTTTTCTTTTGACTCTTAATCTGGAAGACTAGGACATATTCAGGACACCTGGCTGGCCCAGTTGGTAGACCATGTGGCGTATGATCTCAGGGTCATGAGTTCAAGCTCTGCGTTGGGCCTGGAGCCTACTTTAAAAAAGGAAAAGGAAAAAGATAAATAGGACATAGTCTCTCCTAGAGAGTTTGCAAGGTCAGGTCGATCAGAGAGGTTCCAGGCACACAGTGCTAAATCTTCTGTAAATGTTATGAAATTTTCACTGCAGAACTCTGAGATCATCTTAATTCCCATTTTATGGATGAGGGATGGTAGGTAGGCTTAACTGAGGTCACAGAGCTAGCGACAGACATAAATTAAGACTTAAAAATAGGAAAGACACTTCGCTGGATATTTCATGATCATGGAACCAGAAGACTGGGGTTTAAGACCCAATTCTATTTTTATGACCTGGGCTTGGGTAAGTCATTTAAAGTCTGTAAACTCTGTTTCTTCCTCCATTTACAAACAGAATGCCCAGGTCTGTGCACGCCACCTCGAAGGTTGTTGAGAATATTTTCATTCATTCAGCTAAACGATGGGACTAGCTGCCAGAAAACACTACAGATAAAACACAGTGCCTATCCCATCGTAAACGTTGGCCTGCTAGGAGGAAAGAGGCCTGTAAATAAATGGTTACAGTACATTTGTGCAATACATGGCTGTGGTCCTCTTGAGAAACAGACACCTGGACATACAGGATAGTTTACATACCTGTGGCTGGATTGAAGTGGGGGGATTCCCAGGGATGTTAAAAGATGGTATTTACTTGGTGTTGATGGATAAACAGGTATTTTTCAAATTTAGCAAGAAAAGTGCCATTCCATGAGTGTGTTCTTAAGTGTCAGGTGTTGGGGTGTGAACTAGCTGGGGGCGGGGCAGCCGTCGTGGAGGCGTCCGAGGCAGGCAGGTATTTGTCAAGCCATCACAAAAAGGAGGCAAACCAAACAGTGGCAGGCGGTTGGCAGGAGAAGGTACATGGTGCCGAGAGACCGTGTGACAAGAGCGTTTGACCTAGTGAGGGAGGTCAGAGGCGGCTTCCCTCAGGAAGAAACGGTTGAGGCATCCCTGCCAGATGACTAGGAAGAGAGGGTAGAGAAAAGCACTGCAGGTGGGCAGACAAGCAGGAGGACTGGAAATAGGGTGGGGTGGCTGGTGTGGAGAGAGCGCGGAGCAAGGAGCAGCGAGCTGGCCGGCTAGGAACAGCCAGGTGGGGCAGGGTCTCCTGGGCCTTGTAGGCTTGAGGGCAGGTTTTCTCTTCACCCTACAGTTTGGAAGTTGAATACAGGCCACCAGGGTTTTTAAGCCAGAGAGTGATGTTATCAGAGTTCTCCTCACAGGTTTTTTGTGGCTGCTTGTGTACCCCTGGGAGTAGTATGAGCCAGCGTGGCTCCTGGGGGTGGGGAGGGGGGGCTGGTGCAGGGGGGTCTGGGCGCTTGGCTGCTGCTCTGGGCCCTGGCAGCGCAGAAGGGGATGGATTCAAGAACCATTGGGGAGGTAAAAGCAGCAGGACATGGCATTTCCTTTTTTAAAGATTTTTATTTATTCATGAGAGACACACAGAGTGAGGCAGAGACACAGGCAGAGAGAGAAGCAGGCTACCCGCAGGGAGCCCGAAGTGGGACTCGATCCTGGGACTCCAGGATCATGCCCTGGGCTAAAGGCAGCGCTAAACCTCTGAGCCACCCAGGGATCCCCTGGTTGACAGTTCTATAACCTTTAATCTCACACACATACACACATACACACACACACACACACACACACACACACACACGGCCTCCGTCTCTGCCTAAGAGGAGCTGATAACGGCACCTGCTCACAGACATGTAACACGTATGAGATGATGTGTGTGAAGCATTTAAGACCGAGTAGACACGTGCTAAGCAGTCACTACATGTTGGCTGTTCTGTCCATTGCCATCCATTCAGCAAATGTATAAACAACTGTGGGGGAAAAAAAAAACTGGAGCGCCAAGCATGTCACTAGGAAGCACGGTCCCTGTTCTTCAGGAACTGACAGCCTATGTGGGCATTTTTTTTTTTTTTTAGTCACACAAATCTAGGTGTATTTACAGACTGAACTGTATGCTCTGATGGGAAAATGATAAGTGTGTGCATCTTTATTCTTCAGGCAGAGACCTTACCCTTGGATGCCTTGAGGGTAGGGGACACGGAATGAGTGAAGCAGCCTGACAGGGCAGGGAACACGCCCCCCGACCCCACGCCAATGCACTGGGCTAGGCCCTCAGATTCCCAGGGTTTGAAGAGACTGAGCTGTCTAGAAACCACATAAAATAGTATCACAGAAGCTGTTGGGCAGTTGGGCTAGATCTGCTTTTAGAAAGTTCCTTCTGAGAATGGCCCTGGGAGGTGGGCAGCAGCCACGGCGCCCTGGGTCAGATCCTGTCTCTGAAGATAACGCAGACTAGGCCCATGGGCACAAGGAGGAGAGAGCTGGAGTCCAGAGTCTTGAGCCAAGAGGGGAAGCACATGAATATTTCAGAGCTCATTTCAAAAGGTAAAAGCCTTGCGTAAGTTGAAAGAGTGGTCACTTGACGTGACCCTGCCACAGTGCCTTGCGTGGCGTGTATTTCACAGAGTCTCAGCACTGCTGGCTAACAGCGCCGAGCCAGGTGTTCGTGGGGCTCACATCTGTCCTGGGCTGCTCTGAAACAAATCTAGTAGGAGCTTAGGAGTAAGCTAGGAGGCAATTCCTGGGATAAATGACTGTCGCATGGGACAGAATTATTGAAATCGACCCTCCCAAAAAACACGAATTCTTGTGGGCTCCAATTATGGGTGAGACCCTGTCCTTAAGGAGTTTCTTACACGTGGTAACTAAGTCCAGATAGGGTTCAGGTCGGACCCATAAGTACCCTAAGTTTGTGCTGGAGGGAGTAGAGGGAGGCTGGGGCATCGCCAGCAGTCTACCTGCTGGGCTTCAGACAGTTCCTCTCCAGGCAAGTCCTAGTGGCACAGGTGGGCAGTGTGTTCATCCGTGTGGGTCTCTCTCTCTCTCTCTCTCTCTCTCTCTCTCTGTATATGTACATATATATACTTTTTTTTTTTAACAGGTGGTAACAAACAGGGATACACAAGAAACTCTCCTCTGCATGGCCTGTGTATTTGAAGTTTCAAATAGTGAACATGGAGCACAGCATCATATTTACAGGCTTGTAAAGGACTGAACATGGTTATTTATATATATAGATATCTGTATATACACACACACACGTATGTGCGCACACACACACTCTCTCCATTATTGAATGACTGTAAACCTCACCACACAGGGGGGTGCCCTGACCCTGAGGTCACCCTGACTTTTTCTAAATCCTGTTTGAGTGAAGTCATTTTTTCATGTGTTCCTACTATCATTGTAGCTGTGAAGTTCTGGTACAGTTGTAAAAAGAGAAATCGAGTTGTTTCTACGTGTTCTTTAGATCCACGGCCCACAATTCCTCGGGAAAGGTGATCCTTAAGAACCCGGGTCTCTGTCTGCAGAGACCTATTTCTAATTGTGGTAGAAAAAAATTTGAGACAGAGCATTTGCCATGGGACATTTACAGCCTTTATACAAATGTATTTAGTTCTTTTTTTTTTTCCAACATAAAATTCTTGTTTTAAGATACAAGTAAAATTAATCTTTAAATATAAATGTAAATTAGTACACAAAACTAAGAATCTTTAGACTTATCTTTGTAACTAATTAGGGTGGAAGTTATGAAAGAATGTAATTCACTAAATTATTTTTTAAATGAAACTTTTCTTTCTTTTTGAAACCAAATGTTAAAATATAGCCTTAAATGCTTGGTAGAAATATTCTAATGAGACAAATTTGTACTTTTTTTTTCTCTCTCTCTCAAGGTTAAAACTAATCTCTTAATCCATTAAACTCTTGAACAGGTATTACAAAGGAAGAAAACTTCACCCCTTATCCTTAACATATATAGTATATTTAAAAAATATAAAATTGTATTGTACTAATGTGATGATTATTTAATGAAAAAAGATGGCTCTTTTTGCAATAAGTAGATAAATACTGAAAATCTAAACGTACAATGTTTATAGTCTTGTGTGTGCAGTTATATTTTATATGGACAACCAAATTTTTTACTAAGATGAGTAAATGTTTGAACCACTGAAATTTAATAACAAAAATTTAAAATTGGCATTGAATACTGCACTGTGAGCTGCAAAGTATAGAAAAATCCTGTGGCTGGGAGAAATTTCATCAACCAAACAAGTAAAAGGCTCATCAGTTTTAGCGTCTCTGCTCCCCAGAAACTTGCAAGCATCCTCACCAGCCTGTGGATAAATTATTTCTGGTGAACCAGCACGCGTATTAACCTGCTATAACTGTATGTGTACTTATGTGTTTGTGTGTACATCCACACACATATACATATATAGTTATTAAACACCTATTTATTGAACATCTATTCAGTGTCACTCAGTTTGCTCGGTGCTGATATGTATGTATATCGCAGTCTGCGTCCATAGATCTAGATATATTCTTTAAGGACATCTGTTTCCTCAACGTCTCTCAATAAGTCACAGTTCTTGTTTGAGGTTTGAGAGGCCCAGTGTTCTCTCGGACTCTTCCAAACAGACTTGTTTGGGGAGGTTCTCTTCCCAGGAGAAATTCAACTTTCCAACCCAAAATATTCCAAAGCATCACCCAGGCAGAGTCGGTTTGAAATGGCCACATGTCTTGGGTTCTTTCCATAAGTGCTTCATTGGGAAGGAGACAGGGTATACGCCCCAACTTCCCAGAGGAAAGTGACATTTTTTATAATTGCCAGGAGTGGGTTAACACGATAGAACGTGGAATAAGTTTTGTAAAGTCGTGAAACCTACCAGGGCTTTCTCATCAAGCTGGAACATGATTACCTTGTTCTTTCACATCCAAGGAACTTACCCCTTTCCCTGTCCCGTTACCTGCTCTGACCCTGCTGGCACATTGATTAGAGTGTTTGGTGGTCATGAGCACGAGGGTGTGGCTGGCTTGTGGCAAATAGGAGGACACCAGACCAAGCCTGACCTCTCCCAAACTCGTGCCACTGGTTCCTGGGAAGACCAGAGAAGAAAGTGCAAAACTCCCATTTGGAACACACATCCCTCAGATAGGCCGGTAGGATGATGTCTGTCTTCCCTCTGCAAAGAAACTAATGTTTATTCTCTGATTCTAAGTGGGTCTTTGAAGGATTGCCCTAGTCATCTGCCCTTCCATCTGGCCTTCCATTTGGCCTTCTGCCCAGGCACTGAAGCTTCTTCCATGGTCATCATACTTAATGACGTCTCTTGGTCACCCCTCCTATGGATGTTTCTTTTGCTCCTGTCACCTCCATCTTTCCTTAAGGAAACCCCTCCCTCCCAGGGCCAGGACCCAGTGACAGGGTGTAAAGGATCTTCTATGGCCAGAGCCATCCCAGAACTTCCAGGAGAGAAGTTGGTCTGATTCACATTCCCACGCAGGGATGGAGCTCTTCTGTGCTGCCGGGAGGGCTCTCGGGATTTACTTTTCAAAGCACAAATACACCCAAGAAGAGCCCCTACAGGGTGGTTCTGTTGGCTCCAGAGACGGGCATACCCCAGGCAGGCTATGCCCCCATCCCCCAGATGCCTTCCTAGCTGAGTTTGGGGTATTTACAAGAACAACCTGGAGGTTTGCTTTTTGCTCTCAAAACATTTCTAAGAGCCTTAAAAAATTTACTTCTTGTCTTGTTCCTCTACAATTTTCTCCAGGGCAGACAGTTTCCCTCTCTTAACCTCTGATCCCAGTTACCCAAACCCTTAGCCCTCTCTGTGTCTCTGCCAAATTAGGTGCTGGGGTGGGGTTTGTGTTGTAGCACCTAATCCAAATCTGTCTTGGGTCTTTCATCCTTGATAGCAGTCTTTTCCCTTCATCTATAAAGCTTCCCAAACCGTAAAAAAGCCTTTCCAGGCCTCTGTCCTTATTGCTTTCTTTCAGATACCAGATATCCTGGTGACCCTGTACTACCAGCATTGAGTCAGGGACATCTCATACTTTTACTAGAGTCTGGAGGCCCATCTTCCCCAGCCCACACAGGGAGGAGCAGAAGAACTGGACTCTGGTCTGTTGGCATTTGTTTCCATCTTAGCAAAAGACCTAAAATTACTATCAGGACTTCTTCAGGACAGATTCTGGAATCCCAGAAGGTCTAAACTTCTCTGGGCCAGGTGTTCTCAGCGTCTACACTGTTGACGGTTGGGAGCAGTCCTTTGTTCTGCTGAGATGATCCTGTGCATTGTAGGAGGTATAGCAACACCCTTGGCCTCTCTCACACCCTTCCTGCTGTTGCCACAACCCAGAATATCTCCAGATGTTGCCAAGTGTTCCACGGAACACAGTATCGCCCCAGTTGAGAACCACTGCCCTAGACCTCACAGGTCACAACCATATTTGAGATTTTCTTTTTCCCTTTGCTATCCTAGGAGCCTTGTTTCAGGTCGTTAAGAGGCAGGTAGGAATGTTACTCGAATGACATTACTTCCAGGTCTCTTCCCACTCAGAGCCTCTTTCACAGCAGAGTCTGTCCTGCTACAGAGTATTCCTTCATCCCTTGAGGATCTTGGGAACAGCTGGTCACCATCATCCCCACAATCAGCTCACCCGTGTAAGGTGCCTCTGTGATTCGCTCTTCATTCCTTAAGTTTACCAGCTTTAAAAGAAGTTCCAGCTGTGTTCATTATTCTCGTGAGCTTATGGGACTCATTGTCAAAGCTTTCATCATTTCGGTAAACTTCCTCTGGTCTTCCTCTGCCCTCTGCCCTACACTCAGTGCTGTTCTTAGAATTTATGAAAGCCTTTGGAATGCTGCACCTTTAAGGATGGAGGAGAGAGGGACCAGTTCTGGAAGAGGGCTGATAGATTTTCCTTTATTGAGCTAAAAGAGAGCACAATCTATTCTCCTTCATTTAGTGGATGAGAAAGTTGGGGCCCAGCAGGGAGGTGACTTGCCCAAAGTCACCCAGCTGGTTAGTGACAGAGTAAGGGTGAGGCTCTGGGACCTCGCCACTTAACCCTCAGCCTCTCCCAGTGGAGGTTGGTCCTCTTCGGTGCTCATGCCTAAATGATGCCTACAAAGGTGTGCACAGCTCAGAGCAGAGGACAGAGGGAGACCTAAGAACCCCCCCACCTCGGCCAGAGCACGGCATCACCCCGATGCCAACGCCACCTCTCCCACGGAGCCTCGGGTCTGACGGGAGCTACACGAGGCACCCACAAAGCAGATACAAAAGCTGATGAGCCTTTTCGCTTACCCTGAAGACCATTCACCCGCCACAGACTCTGAGTCCAATCTTTATCTGCTAAGCATCCCAGCAGCAAAGTCCCACACTCAGACCAGCCAAAAAGCAGCCCCTGTTCCCAGCACTTGGTGTTACAAGCCCCCAGATGGCTTAAACCCAAGTCTTCTTTAGGTCTCGATACTGTAGTGGCTTTAGCGGTCTGTTTTTGTACAACCATAAATTATTTAAATCATCTTGAGATGACAGTCAATTTTACAAACCAGGTACATATAATTTGTCTAAGTTTGTATATGCTCTGTCTGGTACACTACACCTGTCCTGACGAAGGGTAGAACCAATTCTGTGTGTTGGTGTTCACACCTGTGACATTGAGAGCATATGTCTGCATTGCTTCTTTCTTTATGTTGATATTTCTGTGGCAAAGCCCTGCACATGTCATTTCTGAAAAGCCTTAAATCTTTTGAGACGTTGCGTGTAGGGTGTGCAGTGCAAAAGGCTGCCTCGGAACTGTGAGCCCTTTTGTAAGCTGGAAGCATTTCTCTTACTACTGTTACTTTTTTTAGGGAGTTTTAAATTCAGAGCTGCCAAAGCGTTCCAGTAAGCAGTGCCTTAGTGATTTCCTAGTCCTACCCAGCCCTCCGCGTCCATTTACTGATTGGCCCCGTATTGGAAACCGCACAGGCAAAAAAAAAAAAGACAAAAACAAAAAAAAACAAAAAACGGTTCTCATTTCTCTTTTGTAAGCCCAATTTTCTCCAGCCCTCTAGGGAACCGACCCACCTGGTCGAAAATCGGAAACTGAACGGCAGTCGGTTCTTGACCGCACTCTCAAACGTATATACCAAAACGGAAGGTTTTCCAACTTCGTGGTTTACTATGAAAAGCAAATTGTACTTTTAAAGTTGCCTTCGAAATTCATGACCAAATACTTAGCTATTTATGAATCTTCTGCGCTCTAGCATGGAAGTGCCTTTGGTTTGAGATTCCAGCTTAGAAAAGTGCTGCCATATAACGATAATTTGTGTAGAGAGACCAAAAATATTCTGAGATCACCGTAATGCCTTTGGTTTACCAGGATGAGTAACCAACCACAGGCCTCTGTCCGCCAGGGCGCGGCAGGACGGCCCCCGGGAACTGTTGCGTCCCGTGTCCGCGCCCCCGGGGGCCCCCGCCCGCCCCCCAGCCCTGCGTCCGCGCCAGGGGACTGCCACGCAGACGACAGACTCTCCGGCCGGTGGACAGCGCTGTCCTTCCCCTCGTGTTCGTGTTCAGTCTCCGTGGAGGCTCTCCTGTCCATGCAGACGACAGCGCGCACTTCTCTGGTTTGCGCAGTGACACCACTTCTGGAAGTTGGAAGCCTCAAACTGAGATGCCAGCGCAGAACAACAAACAAAACAAAACAAAAAATGAGTTAGGGTCATTACAATCGAAGTGTTCTTCTCAACGGCAAAAAAACGTTGACTCTGAGTGTTGTGTACGAATGTGCTATGAGAAACTTCCAAAGAGCACCATTCACAATTCGGCATTTTCAAAGAATGGTCCAGCCCTCCAAAGGGCAGCCCTTTAAGAGTCCGCTGTTGGCTTTTATCCAAACCTTGTGTAGATTGGGAAAACTGATAGAGGTAAGGAAGAGGAGTGGAAAGGACCAGAAGGCGAAAACACCAGCCAAACAAAAGCCAGGAGAAAAAAAAAAAAAAAAAAAATTGTCCTTTACCAATATAGACTCCAGAATGACATGAGACATCTTTGAAAGTTAGCCTCTGAACTCTTAATGCGTTACGTTCTTTCGTCTGTCCCTGGTGTCTTTAAGATTACCCTGTCTGGGCTCTGAAATTTCAGGAGTGATTTCTATCCACACCAAGTTGTGAGTATTTAGAGAAAATTCTACAAGGAAAAAAAAAATCAAATGGTGAGAACGAAAATGAGCTAACACGAGCGGTAGTTAGCCGCTTGAGTTGAGGCCCCCTGTCAGTACTGTACCGCACCTGGACAGAAATGAATCAAATACTTGTTCATCTGCTTCTCTTTTCAGCTGTTACTGTGCTTTGTTTGGCAATAGTTTTCTCTCATAAGCTCGTTGCTTATATTGTTCAGAATGAAGGTTTTTGTGTTTAAAATTTACTGCATTGCGAGGGTAGTTTCGCTGAAGTCCTGCACCATTAACTGAGATGAAATATTGGTATTTATTGTCCTACTTCCTGAGGCTGTAGCTTGTTTTATTCTTTGTGAATTCGCGTGGGGTCAGTCCCACGCCACACTACATCGTCTTAGTTTATTTGCAATGGCATTTATGTTCCCTCTTTCCTCATTAAATGGGGTCAGATTCCAGGAGGTTCCACCTCGCTCAGGTAGACTCCTTCGTCTGCCTTCCATTACGAGATGGTTTTCCCTTCCCCTGTCTCTGAGAGGTTAACAGAACCTAGGTATAAATCAATTGGAAACCGGTCTCTTATTTTATTGTTGTTGTTATTATTATTATTAATTTTGGATCAGTCATTTTCTGTGATTAGTCTGACTGTGTAAATTAGATATTAACTGCACTTCCTAACAACAACAAAAAAATACATCTCCCTGTTACCTCCTTGAAAGATTCACTTCTGTAGGCCTTTGTCCATAGGCTCTTGCCTGCAGAGAAGGGAAAAAAAAAAAAAAAAACAGTACGTGCCTGAAAAACAACAACAACAAAAAATTTTGTGACGTTTAAAAAAGAAACCCGAATAGCCTTTAATTCTTGAATATGCTTAAATTTTATGTAAATTGGTTTTGCCACGTGTGTTCGTTCACGTTCTAAATGACTTAATGGGATTCTCACAGTCGGTGTCTTTGTGTCCCGTGTATACGATGGGCTTGTGACGTAAGCGCTTCATCTGGTCAGTGGTCGCTTTGATATTGTACTGCAGCTGGGAGGGGGCTCGGGAACCTGGCCCTGGGTGATAAGGTTCCCCTCAGTCGATTGGAGAGATGGGGGTGGGGGGGCCAATTCTCACACACGTTTTCTTAAACTATTTGCAGAAACTTTCAAAAAGGCATTTGGTTAAACCTCTTGGCAGTACAGTATTCTTGTATTTGTTAATGTCTGTGTTTAGGTACTGGTACCTTTTTGTTTAAAAAAAATGTTCTAAGTGTTGGCTTTAAAGTGAATTTATCTTTAGTATGATAGTTATATGAAAATTATAGGGTTTGTGTGCAGAGAATTTTTTTATAAAGTGCTTTGTAAAAAAAAAAAAATGTATTCTAGCTTTCGCGGTACATATGTGTGATAACTTTAATATCCATGACAGTTAAGTGCAATTATTTCATCACTCTAAAAATGCTATTTTTGTGTCAGTTCCTGCAGGTGTTTTCATGTCTTTGCAAAGTGACACATTTTGATGCCTTCTTGATAAAGTGGTAGACATTTTGTAGCTTTCTAGAAACTTTGTATTCATACGGTATCAATGAAAAATAAAGAAAATGAAAGTGTGGGTTACCTTTTTTATCTGCAAAAGTGTATGTTGTTGAAAATGGCATGTGATTATGTGCTGTGGGTGAACCGGGGGGTTTGTGATTCCGGTGTGGGTGCAGCACAGCCCTGCATAAAAAAGCCTTCCATCCACTGAGTGTGCTGTGTGCTGGGCACTGGCCAAGCGTGTCGATACAATGTGGATACATTGTTTCCTTTAGTTCCTACAAGAGTTCCAAAGAAGGTGACATTAGTCCCAACTGAGGCTCAGAAGAGACCCATCCTCTGAAATCATGACTGGTGAGTGGTGGAGCCGTAAACAGGTCACCCTGATGCTCAGACCTGGACTCTTGCCCCCTCCCCCTGCCCTGCCGCCCACCCCACATTGTGGCTTACTGGGAATCCAAGGATGTAAGTAGCTTAAGGCCAGGGGAGAAATTTTTAAACAATGATGACCTTGGCCTTCTGACAAGACCAAGTGCACCCTGGGATTCTTCAGTCTGTGAACTAGACCTCAAGAAGGTCTTGCTTCTCCCATTTCTTTGAAATCTGAGGTAAAGCATGCCTGAAATCCCAAGAGTCGCTGGTGGGAGTGGGAACAAAGAAGAAATAACGGAACATCTCCTTTGAAAAGAGCCATTTTCCGCAAGCCTCAATTTAAGAGGAATGCTGTTGTCCACTGAGCTGCTCAGGGCAGAGGGAAGGGAACTATGGGACACCTCATTGAGGCCCTAATATATGCCAGGCACTGTTAGAAATCTATTCTCTCTAAACCACATTCTCTTGAACAAAGGAGTCCTTTCCTATTTTCCAATAAAGAAATGGAGGCCCAGAGAAGTTCAGCCCTCGTTAAAGTCATGAAAGCTAATGACAAGAATTGAAGGGGGGAAAGGCTTCCTGCCTTGCAGTTCTAGCTCTACCACTGGCTGTATGGCACCTTTGGCCCTACACCTCCCCCTCCTTAAAACAAGTGCTTTAATACATTGAAAACTTCTTTTGTTCATCCCTGTGGTTCCAGTCAACTAGGTTCAGAAAGATGGAGACACACTAAGTAAACATCACTGGCTAAAGGGATTGATTGATTGATTGATTGATTGATGACTCCATTTATTCATGAGAGACCCAGAGAGAGGCAGAGACACAGGCAGAGGGAGAAGCAGGCTCCATGCATGGAGCCCCATGTGGAACTCGATCCTGGGACCCAGGATCCAGGATCAGGCCTTGAGCCCAAGGCAGGCACCAAACCGCTGAGCCACCCAGGCTGCCCTACTAAAGGGATTTAAAGAGCAAAGGGGAGGATAAACAAGGGCTTCTAGTAAGTTGAGGGAGCAACTTTGCTGTGAACCCCTGATCATTTCTTTCTGCCTCCCTGTTGCAGTAGACTAATAAACATAGCTATTACTGATGGAAAGCCAAATTAGCTGCTGTCGTTAAGTCATCAGTGAGCCACTGATAAAATTCCAATTAAAAAAACAATATTGTGTAAGCCTGTGAAGCCTTAGAGTTTTTTTAAACTGCCTTTAAAGACACCTTTGTTCTGTTTAATATCTTATATGTCAGATATATCTAGGTTGTTTTAACTAGCAAATAGCCTGCCAGCAACCTGACTGCATTTTTTTTTCTTTTCAGTAAACAATCTCCTATTTGCTTTGGCTCCCAAGAAGCTCAGGCTTTTAAATTGTGTTCTGTGTTGATAAGGAACCAACTAGAGTATAAAGGCATAGAAAGGTTGAAAACGAAGGATGAAAAATATACCATAAAACAAAAGAAAGCTGATGTAGCTTTACTATTTTCACAGTAGCATAGCTAGAGGAAAAAAACTATTACTGGAGCTCATGGGGATTATTTCAAGATGATACAAGTTTTAATTGCCCAGGAAAAATAAGGACTCTGAATTTGTATGCACCTAATAACATAGGTTCAAATTTATAAAGTGAAATTTGAAGTCTATAGGCAGAAGTTTTTGAGGAACTAAACTCATTGGGTTTTTTAATAGATAAAGCGGACTCAAAACACACATAGGCACACATAAGTCAGGGGATTTAAACAGCATAATTTAATGTGCTGTTTTAGTTTCCAAAATAAGTAATGAGCACAATTGGGAGACTATACATTATTTCTAAGCACACACTGAATTTTTATGAAAACATTGCATTCAAGGCCAGGGATTTTGACAGTCTGTGGGCCAAATGTGGCCTGCTATTTGTTTGTGTAAGTAAAGTTTTATTAAAACACGCTACTAACCCCTACTATTTACTTGCTGTTATGGCTGCTTTCATGCTACAATGGCATAGTTGATAAGTTGCAACAGACCCTATAGCTCACAAAGCCTAAAATAATTGCTACCTGGCTCTTTACCTTAAAACTGTTTTCTACCTCCCATTCTAAGCCAAAGAAGCAAGGTCCTAAAAAGATGTCTGTGTATGCCGTTCCCCAGTGTGTAGGTATTCTAACAATTGGCTATCGATTCTTTTGATGCTCTTGATGTGGAATCATAGCATTCTTCCTCAAGTATCCCAGCCTCGATCAGTTAGTTATGGGTCTAAAAACAGGCTTAGATCTGAAAAGGATGCGTGATAGTGATTTTTCATTGTAGCAGCTGCCATCTGGTCACCTAATCTTGCTATTTTATGACTAATAACGGTCAAGCAACACCTCTGATGGCCACCTATCTGTCTTGTCCCTATCTCGCCATGGTCCACTAGCCATTTTTACAGAATGTAAAATGGAGCCAGGCTCTTGGTTTCCATACCTTGCCAAGTTATGGTAAGATACTGCTTTGTATCTGACAGCTAATTGCTGCCACTTGATCTCTGCTGTTCCAGAATCTTCTCTCACACACAAGGAAAATCCATTCCGTATCAGTGTCCTTGCCATCAACCTTGGCCTGCAGGCTGCCACAGAGTTTCTTAGCAATGCTTATGCCCTATTCTCTAGTGCATTTGCTATTTTAGCGGCGGGACTATTTTCTTGGCCTTCTGGGGCACCTAGGTGGTAGGTGTTCCCTTAAATTATAACCACTACCCTGCCCTCACCCCCAAGTGTTGCCTCTCTGAACTTTCTGAGCTCTGCCCCAGCACCAAGTACCAAGGCAGTTCCAACACCTCTACATTTCTTCTACACCATTATTTCCTCCAACCTTCAAGGCACCACCCAGCAGCACATCATCCAGCTAACACAGGATCATCTCTACATGTTCTTGCCAGGATATTAAATTCTGAGTTGTAGAAGACTGTGACCTATACCAATAAATGCCTTGATCCAGTCTCATCTCATGTCCTCAAAATTCATTTCCAGACATGTTTTGCCAGTTCCTGCAGGGAAGAAGAGTACAGACTGGCCAAATCCTGCACTCCTGGTGATGAGCCGTTTCCTCCTGAATTAAAGACAAAATTTCCGCACTGGACATGCTGAGGTTTTACACTAGTAATTGGCGAGGTGGGGCAGATCTTGGGGAGGCTAGTACTTCCTCTTTTGAGGCATCGATTTCAGTTGAGGCCTTAATATGGTCTCCATACTGGATAGGCTGCTATCCCAGCAAGAGCAAGTAGACCTAGTAGCCCAGAGGGTTCAGAGGAATTGGGTTCAAAGCTCTCAGTGTTTCCACCCTAATGTCCCCACCCCACATTTCAGGGTGCCACTACTTACTTTTAGGGCCTGACTGTAACATAGACTTGTGAAGGCTGTGAGTTCAGCTTTATTTGTAATTTCTGGCTTGGTTTTCGGCAGTCTGTCGTCCAGCTGCATGAGCTAAGGAGTTTTTCAAATGCTGCCAGGAAGATCTTTTACACCATGCCCTGAGTTGAGCATGGCATTTTCTTCTTTCTGTGCACTAATTGCACTTAGCAATAATCAGCCTATCCCACAATTATAAATTAATACCACCCTCACATGCTAGAGCTTGCATAGATTAGTGTGTCCCTTTCCGTGTAGATCCAGTGCCAGTTTATCAAAGGTGGCAGTCTTAGTGATTGTGGTGCTACAACATTCCAGGGGAATGACTGTCTTAATTTAGGTGGTCCCAGAAGTAGACCTTGAAAAAAGGACTTGAGTGCAGTTTGTTTGGATGCCTTACTAGACATTAAGATTAAATCTTAAATATTTCACTTCATATAAGATACATAAGATGTTAAATTCCCTATAAAGATGAAATATTGTACATTGGTATGTGCTTAATGAAACTATCTTAACATAAAAATGAGAGAACCACAAAGATCCAGAGTCATCTTTCAGTAATTGATGGGATAAGCAGACAAATATCAGGAAATATGTAGGAAAATTGAAGTCTTGATTACGTGTGTGTGTACATGCAATCTATCTCACAACACTGTCATTCATAATTTATCAACTATATAGAATATATGAAAACCATGTTCTTGGGATCCCTGGGTGGCTCAGCGGTTTAATGCCTGCCTTCGGCCCAGGGTGTGATCCTGGAGTCCCACATCTCCCTGCATGGAGCCTGCTTCTCCCTCTGCCTGTGTCTCTGCCTCTCTCTCTCTCTCTCTCTCTCTCTCTCTCTCAAAGTAAATAAAATCTTTTAAAAAAATGTTCTTGGCAAATTAAGCAAGTGTCAATATATTTCAAAGGATTGCTGTAATACAAATGTTATCTGACCACACGCAATTAAGTTAGAAATCAATATAAAAAGGATCTTTAGAAAAGCCCCATATATTTGGGAATTCTTAAACATTTCTAACACATGAGAAAAACAAGTCATGGAAATTAAGAAATATTTGAAACTATATGTTAAAGAAATACCACCTATTAAAATATGTAGAATGCAGTTAAAGCAGTATTTAGAGGGTGCTAGACCAACTGCTTAGAAGCATGCATATTAGAAAAGAAGAAAGACTATAAACTTCTGAGCAAGGCATTCAATTCATGAAGTTAAAAAGCACAAAATAAACAAAAAATGGAAGGAACTAATATAAGAGCAAACTCATGAAATAGAAAACAAACATGGTAGAGATCAACAAAGTCTAAAGTTGGTTCTTCAAAAATACTAACAAAATATACAAACCCTT